AGAAATTCAAATGGGGCACAGTCAAGTCATCAGGCATGGGCAGAAAAATGGATTTTCATCGATAGATATGAAAGCTCTCACATTTTGGAAGTTTGGCCTGGTTTGGAGCTCTGCCTTTAATAACAAATGAACATATGGATTTAGTTCTCTAGGGCTTTCCATCTCCACAGCCTCTGACAGTTTAAGAACATACCCCATTAGCACTTGCTTCATCTTTCTGGCAATTGTCGCGGTTCCTTTAAGAAGTAAGATGGTGCCACAGAAGACAGCAGTCACCTCCCACACCCCACGCCCCCAGACACCCAGGATACAGCTTGTGTGTACTTAGGCTGTCTCTGACACACAATTTCGTTTTCATCCCTGAGTAATGTCTTTTTTGTCCCCCTAGCAAAGAGAACAGTGTATTTTTGTACAGAAAAGATTAGGAGGATGGAAAAATAAAAGAATCTGCCCCCCCAAATAAAAATTCAGTTTAGATTCCTACAAAATAAAAACAAATAAAAGACAAGAGGGTAAAACCACAGAATTTCCCAGAATAAAAATATTTGCCAAGTTCTAGTTGAGGAGCCAGTTCTATTTTGTACATTTAAAACAGTTTCTTTTCCAAAATTTTAGTTTTTAGGGGTCGATGATGGTGGCTGAAACCCTATTGTTTTGAATAGGAGGGATTAGTTTTGTTATTTCAGGATTAAGGTCAGTCTTATTAACAGGCTGCCACATCCTGTCAGTGGCCTGCCTAGTCCTACTGCTACCTGGCTCCTGATTCTCAAGTCTTCCCTTAGGCTGTTGACCCTCAGAGTCCTATGCTTTATCTTTTGAATGTTATACAAGCAAAAGAATATGCACATGTACTTATATAGAGAAGGGTCACCCTAAACTTTCTTTTCCATGAGGCTCTAACCACAGGGAGAAGAGGAGGAGAATTCCAGGATGCCTGTCGGGGCTTGTTTGATTGCAAATACAGCCATACTATTTCACCTCTGCATGTACACCCTTGCCATATGACTGGGAACCTTCTTCTGTTAAGTCTATAGTACATGACTTACTTTGACTGAGAATATAGTAAAAGTGGGGAGCTCAGGCCTCAAGAGGACTTGCGTGCTTTCACTCTCTTTCTTGGCCTCCTGACTTTGCCAGGAGAACAAACACTGGTTGGCTTGGTGAAGAATGAGAGACCTGGAAAAAAGGGGAGGAGCCTCAACAATAGCTAGCCAACTCCCAAAACAGGTACCCAGAGGGTCCACAATGACCACAGTCCTACAAGGAGCCAAGATCAGAGGAACTGCCCATCAAGCTTAGTCCAAACTGACAAATGCAGAATTGAAAGTGAAATAAATATGTATTATTTTCAGGCATGATGTTTGGGGCAATTTGTTATATATATATAGCAATAGCTAATTTTTAACAGAGTTCATAACCAACCTCCTTGGATCTGGTCTGTATTATCATTAATAATATTAGCAAAATTAATAAGAATCAGTAATATTTGTATACAACAATCAAGTGCAGCAACATTTGGGTCTCACAGTAACTTCAGAAAATCTTTTGTATGCTTTAGACATGAATGATTGAGAAAGCAGTATTAATGTTCTTGACTTTTATGACCTTTGGGGTCAGAGGTTAAGCTTCCATGGGAGAAATTTTTCTTTATCAACTGCTACAGTTAGGAAAATGGAGACAATGGGCTGGTTATTGGTAGGTCGGACAAAGGCACAAAACATCTTTTATGTGAGAATTAATGTATTGAAACCTAAATGGAGTCCAGTGAATATATCATGTGATGAATGAATTCTGTAATTGAAAGTGGCAAGGGATGCCTTTTTGTATCTCTACATATTAGTACATGCGGTAAAGGCTTCACTTGAAAAACAAAGAGCAGTGGGCTCAGGTTATAGGTGTTACTGCTTTGCAAATGGCTCCTTGCTCACCCCTGAAGAATGTCAGGTTTTAAATAAGGTAGTAAGTACTAAAGAACATTTTCATCAAAGAGACATGAACTCAAAGAACGCTGAGAAGTAGGTGGGAGGCAGCATATTCATCTATGGCAGTGTTTTGGGGAAGATGCTTAAGACTTAGCATGAAAATCATGAAGGCATTGTCTTAGGCAGGGCACCTGTAGATATCATCCCTGAGATAAAGATTTCATGGCCAGTAGTTCATTTGAGAAATAATTCCAGAAAACAAAGCAATGAGGAAAGAGACAGAACAGATAATCAATGAGATGCTAATGGTGGCAAGGATCAGCTGAGCAACTAGAGACTGAGTCAGCCTCAGAACTCTGGGAGACAATGTGGAACACACATTCAGTGTTATCCCGACCCAGGACTGAGGATGTTGGGGTGTCCACTCACAGTCCCTCTCTATCCTTGTTTGAAGGCTGCTTCAGAATTTTCCGTTATTTCTTTTTGTTGTTACTTGTTTTGACTTTTGGTTCTCTTTCTGCTGTGTGCACAGTATTTAGAACAGAGCCTGGCATATGATGAAAGCTTTGTAAACATTTCTCGAAAGAGTGAATAAAGGTGCATTCCCCAAGACCTTCTAAGAAGTCCAATATATCTTTCTTTGCTGCTCCTCCTGATGGCACATGTCTCCTGCAGTTTCCTGGCTGGCTAAAGTGAAAGAGGCACAGTCTTGGAATGCATCTTTCTAGGCCTCTCTATAAGTTCAGAGTCACACACATCTGGTTTGAATCACTCTTTTGTTACTTATGATCTGAGAAAGCTTGTTCAAATAAACTATAGTGGACCCTTGACCTATGAACTACATTCATTCCTGAGGGCTAGTTGTAAGGAGTTGAGGGCTCAGGCTCCTCTACACAGCCTTCCACCATCTCTCTTCTGTGTACAGGCAGATCTCAATGTCTTTAGAGACATTGGCCCAGGGTTTTTCAATTAGCCCCACACAGGAAAAGACGTTGTAATGTTCCTTCCAGAACTCTTTAAGGGTTAAATCTGTATCTGCCATCCGGAAGCACAAGCAGCAAGCATTTGGGTCATAACTCAAGACTTTGTAAGTTAAAACTAAAATTTGAGTAGTAATCCAAGTTGTTTGTATGTCAGGCTGGTTTTTACTCAAGGGTCAATGCTTTCCTCTGCAAAGGGAGACTATTAATGCTAATTTTGCTAATTTTTCAAAGGGGTTAATAAGTCAATATAAATGAGACAATTTAGTGTCTGGTATAAGTTGGTGATCACAGAATATGAACTGTTTTTTATTTCTCTTAATATCCAGTGTAATCATCAATTTGCTAGTGATTTAATGATATAGAAATTGAGAAGAGTTGGTCAAAGAAGATGCTGGGGAGGATGTAAAATAGAGATAGTGAAACTAGAAACTGAGAGAATTGACATGCGGAAAGGACTTGGATATCAGGATCAGGGATTGTCCTTCAACTTGTGATCTTTTGTAGGTTTTCTTTGCCTGTGCCATGTCTACAGGAGGTAGGAGATTTAGCCTTTATGATGTTCTGTTTTGCCGTAATCATTACATTTCTTGTTTGCTTCCTGAGTTGGCACATTACCTAGAGATGATTCATCCCTGGGGAAATCTGTTCTTCTTTAGCCAAAAAGAGCTGACTACTTAAGAGGTGAGGCTGGACAAATATAATCATCAGAGGGAATAAACTTCACAGCAAATTATGTTAAATTAAGTCTTAAAGCAAAATGGCTGCATCTTAACCTTCCACGTATCCAGGGTGTGGTTTCAATTATTCAGAAGTGTTGGAAACACATTCACTCATCTGGCTGACAACAGATGGAGTTTGGAACAGAATTTTTTAACGTAACCCAGGGACTGACCCCTTGGCAGCTTTGACACATGTAGTATATATTCACTTTCTCTACCTTCTAGTATGCTTTCTATTACCATAATTTGGTAAAAAAAAATGTGCTGTTGCTTAGTTCCTCTGAACAGCGTCCTTGAACACCTAGGGGCTATAAAATATTTTCTGAGGCTTGGAAAGATGTTAAAGAAGTACAAAGATTCATTGATAAGGACAAGTTTCTCATCACTATTCTTGCTTTTTTCAGTCCTGTCACCAAACCTCCAGAGATGCTCTTATGGGTAAAATTATCTGGCAGCCAGCCAAGACAACCAGGATAAGTTCATCTGGCTTGTTATCACAGGGCTATAAAGATAGGTAGAGAAGGTGGAAGAGGTGAAGGAAGTGATAGTGGTGACGGTGATGGTGTCAGGGGCTGCAGTGATGGAGTTGAATATGATATTTACAATGGTGATAAAGGTGGAGGGGTGAAAGTGCTGGTTAGGAAAATTTATAAAGAAAACCAGTGAAAGAAAACTTATAAAGAAAATTTATAAAGAAAACTAGTTTTCTAGGGGTAGGGGAAGTGAGATGAGAATGACTGCTAATCAATCTAGGATATCTTTCTGGGGTGATAAAGATGTTATAAAATTAGATCGCCCAACTTTATGAATGTACAAATAAAACACCAAGTCATATATTTAAGTGAGTGAATTTTTGTTGCTGTTGTTGTTCTGGGGATGGAATCAGGGCTCTGCACATGTTAGGCCAACAAGTGCTCTACCAAGTGAGCTACTTTCTCAGCTACGTATGTATGCTTTGCATTAAGTACTTGAAGCTTAAAAGAAAAAAAAGGTGGGGTGGTGGTGGTGATAGGGTAGTAAAGGGCTAAGCTTCGGTTAGTTGGGGTTTGGGGAGTGAGGAAAGAAGAGCTGATTGACGCCCTATGTACTTGAATTTATATAGGGCCAAGTTTTTTCTGTATGGATTTTCTTTGGAAAACTCCATTTTACCCCACAGCTAACGCTGAATTCACACACAAGTATGTCTAGAATAAATTGTGAAAATCACATCAAGTCACAGATGCCATTGGAATGATGTTTAAAAGGGGCCTCTTTGGTTTCTCCACCCAATGTCTGCAGCTCATACAACTGGCTTCTTAGAGCGATGAAAGAGGAGTCAATCTTTGTCTTCTTGTGTGAGTGCGAGACAGCGCCACGAAGAAATGAAAGCAGGTATCTGGGGTCTATAATTTTTAATAATTTTAAACTAGCTACAAAATGTCAACCACTTCACAAACTGACAGAGGAGACAGGAGGAATTTAATATTACATGCTGTAATGATATTTATCTCACAGTTTATCTATAATTCATTCATTTATATTATTTTTTAAAGGTTTCTTTATCAGCTACTAAACATCTCAGCAATTTGGTGTGCATAGCTCTAGGTTAAGCAACAAAGAATTGTACTGGTAACAAATCACAGGGGAAATGGTGATCAACAAGAGTCAGCCTTATAAAATTTACATTTCCACAGTTTCACCCCATAATTGCTTTCTCCAAAACATAGCCTTCAAAAGCCACAAACAAACCCTATATTACATCATCTTGACATCATTTCAGCCAAACACATATCTTGCTGGAAATGACTAAATGGAGTGTGTTTGCCAAATCTTTTTTTAAAATTGTTTTTTTTTTTAAAAAGGATGAGCATGACTGATAAGTCTATATGTTAACAGAAAGAAAGTGACACTACTGCGGTTTTGCTGGTATAACTTAATCTTGACAGTGTCTCAATACTGAGCATGCTTTGTTGTTTTGTTACTGTTGCTGTTGCATGTGTGTTTTCTCATCAGTATGCTACTGTCATGGAAAGTTTTTGTTTAAGTAGGAATCTAAAAATCTATTTAGTTCTCATGCATAAATGCATAAATCACATCACTTTTAGTGCAATGTCTGTTATGTAAATTCCACATTGTATAATCATAAAATCATAAAGACAGATTACAGCCATGAGGAACCAAAGACGGCACATTTTGAGAGATTCAGAGCCTGACACCCAAAGAAAGGACTGTGGCAGTAGCTCTGTGGAATGTCACAGTTTTACGAGAACAATACTGTGTATTGAAAGAATCGACAGCACATTGAGCATTCCTAAATTGTTGTCATTCAGCAAACGCCACTGAGGAGAGAAATGGAAAAATGGAATCCAAGACATCTTACATAGAGCATTTAAGCCACCCAATGACCACTATATGCAACCTTTGGAAGAAAAGAGATCCAGAGAAAACAAATGACACAGTATTGTCAGGAAGCTAACAGATGACACAGGACAACATTCACAACGAGGATGGACTGGTTGTGTGTGTGTGTGTCTGTGTGTGTGTGTGTGTGTGTGTGTGTGTGTGCAAGACCTACTAGGTAATACCATGAGAAAAGCATGAAAGAGCTATCTTGCTTGACAGTGCTCAGAAGGAAGCACAGGTGGACATGTTTAACCACTTCCCAGCATCTTTGTTGCACGTTGGTTGGCCTCATCAATTCTGGTTTTGTTGGAATCAGCCTAGAAAGGGAGAAAGAAAACAAAAGTCAGGTAACCCTCTAAGATCCCATTCCTCCTTCTGAGTTTGGCTCAAAGGCTTCTCACGTGGAACTACCTTGAAACTTTCCTACTTAGAACCAGGAATGGATCATGTCTTCCTCTGTGTTCCTGAAAACATTACGGTGGCTCTACTGGGACATGAACAGAGAAGCTTGAGTTTGGCTTTTGGCTGTTTTCTGCATCAGAGAGGATCCTCTGAGGACAGGTTATATCATTTATTCTTCTTTCTTGAAAAGAAACTTAGTGACTTATGTAGTAGTCTTCATATCTGTTGGTCTGTGTTGAATTACCACCATTTGTACAGTTGCAGTCAAATTATGATTAACTTATTAGCAGTGTCACTTTGAACAAATTACATCTTGGGCCTCAGCTTTCTTGCCTACATCATGGAGGTGATAACGAATACTGCTAATGAGCATGATCAGCTGCTACATTCCTCTCTTTCAACTTTGATAACATCAACCACCAGGTATGTGGGATTAGTAGCTCCTTTCCAAGTGATGAAACAGGATTCAGGAAATTTGCTTTCAAGCTTGATACATGGGTAAAACCACAGTCAGAACAGGAGTAGCCTGAAGTTGACACTGTTAATCTCTCTACTTCCTAGGCTTGCTGTGAGAATTGTTATTTATAGATATATGTGCTTAGAATGATGCTTTGCAAAAATTAAGGACTCAATGTATCTTACCTCTCAATTACTGCTATTGGGTAAAAACATGGCTAGCTTTTGGGATGCTTAATGTTTTGTGAGCCCCATTTCTGAAGGCTGCCTTCCCCAAGTTTGGTGATTTGCTTGCCTTTAACAGGAACACTTGTGCCATAGTTTTGTATCTTGCTCACTTTAGTGTTTTTGTTGATCTTTTCACTGCCTGGGTTACATTTACTGTATATGAAGCATGAAACTCAGGGATGTTACGAGGACAGATTTTAAACCCTGAGAAACTAATTAACCCTACCACCACTGAGAAAGATGAGTAAGAAAGTAGACAAGAAGACAAGGATTCTGTTCAGGCTGTCTTTTTGTCCTATCCTGACTGCCTGGTAAGAGGAAGAGAAAGTTACCAGGGAGCACAGAGAAACAGAACTGGTTTTCTAGTCAGTCACAATCACTCAATGATTACTGACTTTGCAACTACCATGCTCGATGCTTTCAAGTCTAATAAGTTGAGTCTTTATTTAGTTTGAATTGTGAATTCCCAAGACACTAGAGTTACCCTTATGCAAATAGAAATTTACAAAGTTGGATATACTTCTAAACTATTGACAACTGAATTATCTGACTATGGTTTTTCTGCCATTGGTTTCGTTATGAAGGAGTTGGCTGTGAAAACAAGTATTTACATCATAAGATAGAATATTGATTTTCCTTGATTGTTCTGAACTATGCACACACATTTTTAACCTCGCCTCTTCATTTGGAAAGTGGATAATCCCTCCATATGTACTCTCTTCTTTACTCTTCCCTCTGCAGCTATAAATTGTAAAAGGTGCAATGATACTTTGGTGCAGAGGAAGATTACTATCTTGGTCCAGTGTAAAATATTCCTGTATATTGAATTATGTTAACTATGTTTCCAGACCAAACATTGAGAGAAGCACAGAAGATAAAAATAATACATTTTTCATAGGTACATGTGCTTAGAACGATGCTTTGCAAAAGTAGATGGCATTTCTGAAGGTAAATGCTCTAGAATCTCACAAGAGAATGCACTGATGAGTCAAGACATCACAATACCAGGGATATTTGAAATAAAGCATGAGGTTATTCTTTGGGCATCCTCAGAGGATGTGGGAGAAGCTGATACAGATCACTTTTCAGTGGGCAATTGTGATTTCCACCTAAATGCTTTGTAAAGCATATTAAAATTCTATCCCATACAATGCCTGATACAAAAGGTACTATATCCATATCTTATCATATCATATTAAAGAAGTAGCACCTTTAGAAAAAAAAATCCTGCCAAATCTTTTAGATGCCCTCCTGGTATTTGGAGAATGCCTGTATTCATCCTACTTATACACTTGGGAACAAATCCATCCTAGTTTTCATATTTCAATGTAAAGAATCCTAAAGTTGCCAATATACTCAACAGATACTAATTGATTTGCCCTTGTGAGAAAGCCAGGGTGAACACTGGGGAGCCAGTACATAGCAAAAGGAACTCTGCAGTCCCCTTTTCTGAACACACTGGGAATCTCAAGTTCAGACCATCATAGGTAGCGTTTAGGCCCCAGCTCAGACTTCCAGAACAGGGTACTTTCTACCCTATACAGTGGCCCATTTTGATCCCAGATCTGAACTGTTTTTTTATCTGATAGACCAGGCGACAATGTCTCAGAGCTGGGAAATGGAAAACCCCGTTGAAGCCAAGGTCTTTGTTCTCAAACACTGTGTTTTCTCATTGACTTTGATGATGGTGACAGTCTGCTTCATTGTTTCACAGTGCAACATCTACCACTGGCAACTTTAGATTGAAAGCTCAAGCTCACTATTATTTCCTTAGCAACAGTTTCACTAGAGCATTTCATATAGTAGTTTTCTGAAAGAACTGTATGTTTTTAACCATAGAAAATTGTCTATATAAATAAGAAATAGAGAGTAAGGTGTTTGAATTACAAAGTAATTTCTTAATAGTCTTGGAGAACATATTGAAAGTCTCATTGTTTTGGACTACCAAAACTGTACTGTCATCCAAGTGATGAGAAAAGGTCGTGATCAACAGAGGTCGGTGAGGATCATTGTTGGAATCATGATAGAAGACAGGAGAAATATCACAAGGCTGCTTACTGCTGCTGTGTAGATTTAATTGAATCTTAGATACACGGGAAACTTTTGCACACTGTTACCTGTTGTCACAAGTCAGAATTTCTGTGACCACGAAAAGTTTATTAATAATTGAGTGGCTCAGTGATCTGGCCATTTGGGGCAATGTTGGGTTGAAATGGGCTCTACCTAAATCATGTCCAGATTGTGCTATTATTGAAAAAATGCGGTGGTTGCTTATTGACCATAACAAATTAATTACTGAAAGTTAAGTAGACCACTTCTCAACTTCTTAAATGACTCAAAATTAAGGGATGATTCAAACTGAAACAGCTATTTCCCATCCACTTGCCGGCTCTTCACTAAACTTTATAGATGCATATGTCTCTGTCTGCTGGTACACTGGACCTAGTGCTCACTTCGGCAGCACATATACTAAAATAGTACACTGGACCTAGAATAAAAGGCTCTCCCTAAAGATGAGAACAAGAAGGGCAGAGAGGTAGAATTGAGATGCTACTTGCCCTTCTAAGAATGCTTTCTCTTGCTTAAAGTACAACTCTATCAATAAGAGCTTGACTTCTCTATTAGTAAAACCTCTCCTTCTGGAACCCTAATTGGCTTTGATGTAGTATCTAATTACATTTGAGTAAATTGGGTCTATTAATAGACAAGGAATATATCCTGTTTTCTTAAGTCTTTTTCTGTTGGAAAGCTATTCAGGAATTATTTCTTGGTTCATTTTTATGGGCCATAATGGCTTAGGTCAGCTTGTGTTGGCTCCAGGGCTCTCTGAAATGCTCAGTATTGTAACATCCATCATCTTGCATAGCTTTAAAAGCTTCATCACATCAAAAGCTTCTTAGCAATAACAAGCGTGTGTAATAACTTGCAAAGATAAGCAAAACTATAAACATTTTGCCAGCCAACTCTGACATTTGTGTAGCTCAGTAGTGATCAGGAAAAAATACTGCACAACTGGCTATGTTAATACAGAACACATACAGCGAAGAGGTCAACACATTCCCTTTATATCTATTCATCATTTTTTTTCAAGTCAGTAGAGGTTGCCTGGGTACTAACAATCTACAAGTTAGTTGTATGACTTAATAAATTTAAAAAATATCTACTGCTCAGAGGAATAAAATGAATTATAAAGCAAATCAGGATTTCAGACAAAGGACTTCAATATCTCACAGGGGCTAAGCACACAACATAAGATTATCCAAAAAGAAATGACAGATACACAATTACTGTTAAACCTGCACTGTGTCTATTTCTTCTTTTTGGCATTTGGACATTATAAGAAATTATAATCAATGTTCAACATACAGATTGGGAAAGGAATAGACTACAAGGAAACAGGAACACTTTCCAGCGCTCTTTTCTGTTCTCTCTAACTTTATGCTCCCACACATACCCTTTTGCATTCTACTTTATTTAGTCTTCTTTATTGATAGAGGGGTGAGAAAGATGGATGTGGGGGTGGGGTAGAGGGTGGAGCCTAAGAGTAAAATCTGGTGTCATTGTATGAACTTAATTTCATCAGGTATCTTCCCTATTTTGAGATTTGGGGATGTGAACAGCTGGACTCCAAATGGAATCTGGGATTTTTTAAAACTATCTTTAAAGTTGGCATTTATAAAAACAAAGTTCTTACTTTTGAGTAAGCTGAATTTCCCCCATTTTCTAAATATTCCTTCCCTATATCCACTTGATAAACTTCTAACCAACTATTGACTTAACTCAAATTCAGCCTTTCCTGAGATTTTTCTCAACCCCTCCTTCGTACAGGCCTTCCTTCTATAGTTCTGTTTTGTATCCCTGGATCCATTACTGGAATATATTTTGTGTCATAGTAAATTCATCTGAAAACATTACCTCCCGTAGGCTGTGAATTTCTTGGCAACAAGAATGGTGTTTTTTATTTTTGTATCTCACAGTGCCTCACAGAGTGTTTGTCATGGAAGAACGTTTGAGAAATAGCTGCATTCTTGAGGGGTGGGCACTCAGGGGCACAGCACTTGTCTAGTTTGTGCAAGGCTCTGGGTTTGATCCTCAACACCACAGAACAAAACAAAAACTACATTCTAATCTTCACTACAGGTCTATTGATGAATCTTCTCTTTTTGTCTTAGAAAATAAGGGCAGAATTCCCTACTACTAGTGTGTCTGAATCCAGACTTGGAATGGGAGATTTGTTCTGCCTCTTGATTCCTGGTGATTATTTCAGAAGGGACAAGAAGTAACAACTCTATGACTGCTGCATGCTCACCTTCTCCATGATCCTGTCGATCTGGCGATTCTGTGTATCAATCTCATTGCCCATATCCAGGGCCATGTGACGGAGGTTTCCAATGATGCCGCTCACCTGCTCCAGGTTTTCATCCATTTCATTTTCTCGGGCATCATTTGTTACCCTGGGAGCCAAAAGGAAATTTTTAGAAAATAGAATGGAAGAAAAAACTTGAATACTAATGATCCAAAGCTTAGAGAAAGTCTGTAGACCTCTAGGCATCTATTTTGTCTAACTTTAATCTCCATTTAATACAGAACACATTGTAGCATTTGTACATTAGAAAGTAATTCTTTACATTGTGTTTTGACTTGGAGATGCAGCTTATTGGTAGAGTACTTGCTTGACTAACATGGGTGAGATCCTAGGTTCCATTCCCAGCACCATAAAGAAAATAAAACAGCAAAAATTATGTTTTGAAATTTTGAATTTCTATTTTTAAGGAAGGTAAGCTATACAGATTAACTTATCTACTTTTCTAACGTCTACCAGCCTATCATCTCCACCTCCATGTATACATTCATCCCTGTTTTTAATTTTAAGGATAAAATCATTTTAGTTTGAGGGTTTGCAGGTCAGAGAATGAAGGTGGAATTAGACAGAAACTGTGCTTTTCTTTCTGAGCTCAAACCTCCAAACTTAAATTGAGAATGAAAGAAAAATTTATGATGCTGTTAGAGACTCTGCTCTCTCTTTTCCTGTCGTTTTTCCCATTGTGCATAGATAGGAAGCATAATAAAAACTATAGTCCGCCCCTTAGTCCTGTTTGCTCCAATAATCCCAGTGGGAGCCACTTGTTAAGTATGACTTTTATTTGCTCATATTTTAATGCCAAGGGTTTCCTTAATGACATTGTGAATGGGTGAGTTCAGACTAAAAAACTATGATTAAAGATTATTGTTTCAATTTCAATGGATTGGGAGTGCAGAGGAAACAGTTGGCTCACAAAGCCTCTTACCATTCTTCTCATTCCAATTTCAAAGTCAGAGAAACTTTATTGCAAACAGCAAGCACTTATTCTAAAATTTTTCCAGTATCTATGGAAATTGGCTGAAAAATGTTCTGAGTTGTTAAAATCTTTCCTCCTTGGTAACTCTCAATGTAGTTTGGATCATTATAATTGTAAAAGCAGAACAGGCCAGAGAAAATTTAAAATTTAAGAGAGAACTTCCTACCTTCCTCATGTAAGAGATTCTTATTTAAATGTTCGTCAACAACTAAGGCATGCTTCTAGTTCAACAGTTCTCAAGTCTTGTATTGAGAATCACCTCAGAAGCTTTAAAAATCACAAATGTTTATGTTGCCCTTCAAGAGATTCTGATTCCATTGGTGTGGGACTAGTCATGGGGCACTGGTATTTTGTTTTGAAAAAGTCTCCTCAGTTGATTCTAATGTGCAGCTATTGTCTTGTTTCCCTGACAGCAGATAGAGGCAGGAATGACTTGTCAACTGTAAACCTTCAGATACCTATTTAGCCCTTATGCCTCAGTGACAGTGACCCATCATTTGAATCAAAAAGGGTTTGGTTGCCCAGCGATAGTGACAATGGCCTGGGAAGAGACAGGTTGCAAAAAACTATCCTAGCTATGGCTGAGTTCTGGCATAGTAGTCATATATATTATTCTGTTTTTTTATCTTCTAAGTACTCGGTTTGAATTGGCTAACTTGTGTAATTTGAGGTTTGTAAAAGTGGCATTTATGTTGGTGTTTGCTTCTTGATTTCAAAATAAATGTTTAATAACAAGCTCATCATTCTGTTTCCACCCAAAACCCATTCTTTGACATTCTTTGTTCTGTGTCCTCAGAGGCTGATCTCCAGGACTGTGCCACCCAGCTTCTCTTGCTCTTGGCTTCCAATAGGCCTTGGATAATGGCCTGTGAGAAACTGGAGGGAGAAAGGAGTGAGGAGTTGGGACATTGTTCTTCTTTCTTCATTACCTGTTAGTGCATGCTATGGTTGCTTTTCTTTATCAACAGCCCATTGCCACAGCCAGAACTATTGTTGGGTTCTGCACACTGTTTGCACTCTTGTTCCTTCCATGCTGTGCTACTGCTAGTTCATGAGTGCTTCATCACTCATTTTAACTCTGCCCATATCTCTGTAAATAGTCTCTTTAATAAGCTTTATTTACTTTAACTTATGGAATGAGGTATCTGTTGACTGCCACATTAATTCTGGATGTGGTCATATGATTTGCTTTGTTTAATGTAATTTCAGTAAATATGGTGCAAACCAAGATTGGATAAGTGCTTGTGCTTGGAACTTGTCTCCTTGGTATTCTACGGTCACCATAGAAGAAACTACGGCTTTTCTCCCGCAGGACCACATGGCAGAAGACAGAGGTGGCTCCATGACAACGGAGCCAAACACCAGGTGAGGGAGGCACTCTTAGATCATCTTGCCTTTAGTTGCATGTAGACCCATGGGGGAACCCAGGAAAGGCTCACTCCCAGAAAATATACAGATAAATGAATAATAAAATGATTGTTGTTTGAAGACCTACTAAGTGTCGAGGTTGGTTATTCAGCAATAGAGAGCTGTCATAATCCATATCTTATGAAACTCACCTGCGGATAAAGCCACCACTGATGGCCATCTGCTCCCGTTCATCCACCACACGAGCAGGCTGGCTGGCCACAACTCCGTCCTGATTATTGCCCCAGGCTTTTTTGTAAGCATCACTTGATTTAAGCCTATGCAAAAAAGAGGGTGAGTAACAAGGCACGGGGTGGAGCAGTAAGCTCTCAGCAATTGTCACTTCTTCAAGCGAAGAATCAAACCAAGCGAATGAGTTTTAAGTTGAGGCATTAGAGAATACCGATATATCATAATCTGGACCCAACAGTTGGCCACCACCATGCCTCAGCTACTCAGCATTAGCATTTCATTTCCAATTGAGTCAATTGCAGTGGTCAAGACTGTAATTTTTGGTTTGTTTTGTGGTTTAATTGGGTTTAAGATAAGGATTTAAGTAGCTGGAGAACATTCATTTCTATTTTCAGTGACACAGTTATATTTTGAGACACAGAACACAGAAAAAATAAACTGGCAGACAGACACAAAACAAGACTGCCAAATAGAGTGTGTACATCACACCACAGCAACACAGTGTCATCAAGAAAAACATACTTGACCAAGATTTTACACAGCATCATGCAAAGATCCCTGTTTAATATTTTTTCACTGATACATGTATAAAGCTAACATTTCCAATGCTGCATGGAGGACACAAAGGATTGGTGGTTGGCCAAGGGTGATGGTCTTTGAGTTGCCTCTAGAAAGATTTGAGTTAGATAATATATCGGTACTTCCAAACAGTCACCATACATCCAGAGTTGATGTACAAACCTTTGTCCACAGAGACAAAAAGTAAAAGAAGCATAGTGAGATGAATGCAGGAAAATAGAAGAGATAACAAGCCATCTAGCATCAAAATGGGAAACCCCTCTAGGTCTTCTTCATGCACCAGCTACAGGCATGAGGAGAAAGTGAAGCATTCTCATTTAAGCCAAACTACTCCAGAAGTTGACCATTCTCAAAAAAGGCACTAGCAGGACAGTAATAGCCTTCATGAAGATTTGAAACGCAGTTCAGTAGCTTCTTTGCTGGGCTGATGGGCAGGGCGGAGGGTGCTTATAAATGCCTACTTCAAACTATTCTGGGGTCATGATGAGGAGAGTGGTCTGCAGTCGGTATGGTCTCCATGGACTGTATTTCACTGAGCTGCCTTGGAGAAAAACTTAAAATCCAGGCATACCTGTTGTGCCCAATAGAAACATGTGCAGCATGTTTTGGTGGGTGTGTTGTAATTTAAAGCAATCAAAGATGTTTTTAGGTTCTTTGCATAGTAGAAACCACATGCTTTTTAGTCCAAAGAGAGAGAGAGAGAGAGAGAGAGAGAGAGAGAGATCCTTTGGTTCCATTTTCAATATTTTTATTATACAATATCGGAATTTAATTCTCTCTCTCTCTCCCTTTTTTCCCCCTTTCCCTAGAGGACCTCAGCCATCTATTAAAACTGGCTCTAGTCCTTGAAAATTGACAAAGCAAACCATGGTGACAGACTGGAAAACTGCACCAATGGAATTTCAGCAGCTCCCACAACTATTTGCATAATGCCACAGCCCTTAGAGCAGTCAGAATTTACTGCATCAGAGGGCAATGGCCCACTTGGACAAGATCCCCAAACTAATTTTAATAAAGTTTAGAGTCGCCCCCCCCTCCAATTTCCCATCTCCTCCTTCCTTGGATTAAAAGGACTTGTATGGACTTTGTGATGTTTTCTGCTATGTAAAATATCTAGTGTACCATCTTTGGCAAAATCAAAGGAGGAGAAATATGCGTTTCCAAAAGAAGGCAAACCACTGCACCCACAATGCTGCACATAGACTCACATCACTGCCGAACATCTACCATAGTCCTTCGAAACATGCTGAGACAGGGCGAAGCCCTCAGATAGTCCAGGGCACCACCAGCCACTGCGTTGTGACACATGGTTTTTAAAGCATTATTTACACACAATAGGGAACACTTTGGTCAAGTTTTGAAGCTCACTTAGGGTCTCTTGTGCACAAAGGAATTAGTGGCCCCTTTTCTGTGGAGTTGGAAGAGCCATTTGCATCAGAACCTTAGAATCCATCCCAGGGGGCCCTGCCTCTGCCTTTCGTTTGCACACAGTTGATGAAGGGAGCGTGTATATGTTGGAAGTCACCACAAAATGGCTGGAAATCTCATGTGAGGCAAATCACCGCTGAAAGGATGTACAGTGAAATCTTGAGTAACTGGAATACGGCAGTGAGTCATTTTGGTGAAGTACAGGACTTTGTTAATGAACAATGGGTGGTGGAGGAGAATTCGTGAATATCTTGTTAGACTCCTGAGCCAATTTTCCATGTAAGACTGTCCTGTAGTGGACATAATCAAATCTTTCTATGGTTGTGTTGTGTCTGGTGGCCTTTTCTTTAAGGTAAACTCTTACTGTTTGTTATTTTCAGATGTGGGGCTTATTGGAGGGTGGAGACTGAGACAATACAAACTACCTGGAATGTCTTGGAAGACAAACAATTTGAACTCTCGCATGCATCTTTTTTTGCTTGTTTGTTTTTGTTCATTTGTTTCTGTTGGCTGAAAATCAGAGGTAAAACTATACAGTTGAAGATTCCAGTTATCTAGATTCCAGTTAATCAGGGTTTACTGTAGATCATTCTTTTTAAAACATGCTTTGTATTTATAGGTAAATTGAGGCCCTCCTCTTTCTAAATAGGAATGGGATATTTTCAATCAGCCTCAAAGTTTAAAGGATGTGAATGATCACATAATCTGTTAAAAATAACATCAATTTCTGTGTTAAAAGTGTAGATCAGGAGAGCTTTTAGGGGGAAAAAGGCATCTTTAAAGAGGGACAAGAGGTGAGGGAGATTGGGGAATGGGTTTAATTTTCCAAATGCATGTTGGACCACTCACCCATGCATTTTTTTTTCCCCACTGCTAGTCAAATGAGATTATCTTCCAGAACCCTCAGTTTCAGGTTCCTTCTGTTGTAAACCTTTATAACCACATGTCACATTTCTGCTACATTCCAAAAAAAGCATTGCAGAACCTTGAGAACAGTTGAATGTTTTGTGATGTCGTGCATGCAAAATCTACACATTTCAACATTTCAGCCAGTGTACGGGTGGTTCTTCCAAGGGGAAGCATTTGAGAGGAACTGGTCCAATTTGAGCAAGGCTTGAGCACTTTTGGCTCTGCATCATGCACAGCCCCAGCATCTCGTGAACAAATTTGAGAACTGGTGGGTGGTAGAAAGGGAAAATGTCTGTCATACTCTCTTACTTAAGGATGCTTGCCTGGGCCAAATTACCTATCTCTTTGACTTCTGGGAGATCAAACCTCGATATATGTGGTTCTCTTCTTTCAAACTTACCCACAGCCTTTTGTGGATGGGAAATTTAGGTTCTTGGGGTTGGGGGAAATAAAGTTCCCCAGGTGCCTCTGTCTCAAAGTACACTTTCTGGAAAATGTTGAAATGTTCATTGATAAAAGTTGCCGACAGTGAAGCTTTCACTGTAGTATGCCTGATTTTTAATGCAACAGTAACTCCCACTACTATCATCTATGCTATGAGATGAATGCACTGGAGACGGTGTTGGTCTGTTCTGCATGCCACATGCTCATCCTGCCTATGAGCCTGCAGGAATGAGCTTGTCAAGGCTTGGAGATGGGCCTTGGGAAACCAAAGCTTCAGGCAGGCAGGCAGCACCTACTTGTTACAGGGACACACACAAAGCCCGCAGAATTTTCCTAGGTCCGTCAAATTCTTTTCTGCTTCTTTCATGTCCTTATTGATTTGGTCCATCCCTTCCTCAATGCGTTCCAGTTGTTCTGATTAAACACAAGTATTTTATCCCCACAGAATGAAGCAGATGGAAAAGGACAAAGAAAAGAAAGACAAAACTTCAGACATTCACTTTGACATTAAAAAAGAAAAAAAAAGAAAGAAAGAAAGAAAGAGAAAGAAAGAAAACTGGACGCCACAGATTAGAGCTGGTACCCAGTACCTACTTGTTACAAGGACATATGAAAAGGCCACAGCATTTCCCTAAATCTTTTAAATTTTTCTCAGCCTCCTTCATGTCTTGGTTGATATGGTTCATGCCTTCTTCGACACGATCGAGTTGTTCTGGTTAGGACAAAGGGATGACAGCGTGGAATGAATTTTTTTAGGGGTTTCCAACAGAACATGAGAAATGACTATGTGAGACAGGTTTTGAAAGAGAAAGAGAGAAATCGCAATGCATTATCTGAGAGGATGCATTGCTGCAGATTCCTGCTGCTGCTCTGAGCAGGCATAGGTGGAAGGAAATGAACAAAACGATGCTCAGAATCATTTGGAATTCAGACATGATGGGGAACTCAGAAGGCCCGTTTGATTCTGAGCGTCCAGGGTAATGGCACAGCATATTCACTTATCCATTCACCAGTGAAACCCAGGAGAAAGAAAAACAGGGTGTTAGTTTATGTTTAAGGAGTTCTCATTTAATGGTACTAAAGGAAGTATCTGCTTCAACTTTAAGATGCCTGTGTCTCTTGTTTTACAAGTATCCTCAGTCAGATAGAGGTAGAAAACAGAATCTATTTTCTTCTTTGGGAAAAAAACAACAGCAGTAGTAATAATTAGTAATGGGTATGTGTCTTTTACTCCCCTCTAGCAATGGCTATGTAACCCATGGCCTCGTCTTGGTTTTCCATATTTAATTCACAGAGGCTATAAGAGAAACTAACATCAGCATAGGGACTTCAAAAGTACTGGAATGTTTCAAATCCTCTCTTATCCTCTGATATACGTGCTTTGAAAGCTTTAGAAGGCATTTGACTTCTCTAGACCCTGACTTTCCAGTGTCTCCAAGGAGCTGGTTTACTAATTGCAAACTCCCAACAGAAGGCATAGAGGATGACTGCATCCGTGGAGGAGGGGTGATGAACTGGAACACAACAGCACTATGCCATGGATGCCAGTAGAGCTGAGCTTATGTCTAAAACATAGACCAATAGTCATAAAAATGAATCACACTTCTAGGTTGCCAGGGGAACATATATCAGCTTAATTAGTTTTTCAAAAGTTGCATCACTAACTTAAGGTAACTACAAGTTCAATGAAGGGATTTTTAAAACAAGTCTTTAAAATCATTAAAGGTGAGGAGCAATGACACATTTTGGCTGCCTAGTTAGAAGACCTAATTACATGCCTAGTCCTCTTTTTCATCTATGTCTTCATGCATGCATGCCTATACCTCCAAGAATAAAGGCATGCCTGGAATAAAATATTTCTAGCCCAGGGGCGTAAATAATCATTTAAAAACAATTTCACATTCCATTGTACAGTGGAGATTGTCATTTTAAAAGCTCAGATAGGTTCACTAATGACCTGAACTATGAATTTGGAAAAAGAGATGATTGTGCTCTTTTTGGTGGAACAGAAAAAACAGAATTCAGCTTTTTAGGAATCTCTTGTCTCTGCTATGCTTTTAAAATGTCTGGTGAAAACATAATTTCAGTATTTATCCAGCACTGGATACCTAGAGGAAATAACATTGCAGGGCCAGAGAACTTTTGCTGAATAAATACAAACACAATGAGTTCTTTAGGAAAACCTTTAAAAGAATACATATATGTATATATATATATATATATACACATATATATT